CCCAGAGATCCATCCATGAGCTCTGTTCTTCTTATTCTACCCATCCTCCCTGGACAGCCTTATCCATGCTCATGATCAACTGTCACCTACATTTAGTGGCTCTGTTATTGCTTCTCCTCCATGAACTGCAGAGCCACAGTCTACCTGCCAGGGGCCAAGTCAACTTAGAAGTCCCACAGCAACCTCAAACTCAGTATGCCCCAAACTGAACCTCCCTTCTTCCTGGTCCTACCCTTATAGCACCTTCATGAATTCTGTCTACTTGTTCAGACCAGCAAAGTGGGCATCATTTTGAGCTCCTCTTTCTCCTTTAATCTTTATATCCAGTTAGTCACTAAGCTGCTGGTTGGCTTGTGGGCACATTTAGAACTGTACACCACCTCCATCTTCACTGATTTATTTAAAGTCTCTCTTGGACTGTTGGGAGCATTGTGGATTAGCTAGCAGAAGACTCACATCCACCCCCTTCTCCCAGGCTGGCCTCTATTAGAGGGGACAAGACAGGCTTTCTTACAGCTAGAGATGGCTTGTGATGTAATTCTGGTCAATGAGACAGAAAAGAAAGTCTGTTCAGAAGTTTCTGGGAAAGACTTTGCTTTCTTATTTAAAAAGACAGATACAGATGCTCCCAGTTTTTTCCCCTTCTTCATCCTTTGAATGCCAGATTTGTGACTGGAGCCACCATCTTGCAACTGCAGAAGGAAGGCAAAGAGAATTCCTGTGCCTTTGCCCTGAACAATGCCCATAGCCACCTACCATCATATTTCTCACTATGGGAGAAAAAAATAAACCTCCTTTTATTTAAGCCACAGGGGATTCTGTTACTTGTAGCCAAAAGCATCTTTGACTGATAAAGTCTTCTAGCTAGTTTCTTTGTTGTAGTATCATTGCATTCTCCACAGCCTTGGCCAGAGCCTTTATAAAACGCAAATTTGACCTTGCTACTTCCTTGCTTTAAATTTTCCTTTGACTCTCCACTGCTCACAGGATAAAGATCAGACTGCTTTGCATGACACATAAGCTCTCCAGTCTCCTGCTGCTTGCTCCTCTGGCCTCATCCCTGGGCACTGTACATGACGGACAGTTCTCCAGATACACCACATTTCTTTGTGCTTTTTTGGCACATGCTGTTTCCTCTGTCTGGAACACCTTCTTCTTTCCAGGTCTTTCCCCTCCTTTCTTAGAGCTCTACCCTCTATGGTTCTATATCCTTATATCTTGAATATAATTATAGCTTATTGTCTCTTCCTCTTGCTAGACTATGAGCTCCTTCATTTTCTGATATGTCTTATGTATCTTTGTTTTCCTAATATTGGATAGAGAGTTTGAATTCAGGAAACTGAGAAATAATGAAAGAACAAATGAATAAGTGTGCTGAACCAGGGGCCTTGATTCTGTCTCTAGTTCTACTTCTTATAATGTCATGAGCTCTCTGAAACTCATGTTCCTCATATGTAAAACAGAGCAATTCTATCTTTGCTGTTTGAGGTGTCAATGAAATTATTTTTATATGGCAGCTTTGTAATAGCAAAACAGCACTGGCCTTGGTGAGAGGTCAACTCAAGTTCAAATCCATGACTCCAATAATTATTAACTTATGAACTTGGGCAAGTTGAGTAAACTGTCTGAGCCTTAGTTCCCTAATTGACAGGAAGTTAGATAGAAATGTGCGGGGCTGTTATGAAGATTACTTGAGATACTGAATATGAGAATTATTGGTTCATAAGAGGGACTTAATAAATGTTTAGTTGAAGTGGACATGCGAAGAGGTGGTCTTCAGTCTTGATAGGATCCTGCTTGGGATGCCCAGTTCCTGGACAAGAGCTGTGATTCCCATGCTGCTGAGCAGCCAAAGCCCAAACCTGTGCCTGCCTCCTTTCACTGTGCAGACAGTAGGCACCATGCCAGCAGCTCCATGCAGAGTTGCTCCTGGTCTCCGTCCCTAGGTTGGAGGAATAAGAAGAGTCACGACCATCTACACAGCACTGAAAAGATTCTCCGATGCGTCCATAAATATATATCTCATGTAATTCTCTTGAGCATTCAGCAAAAGCTTCTCAGAAAATCTGAAATTTAATCTGAGACTTAAAGGATGAGAAGGAACTAGCTATGTAAAGATGAGGAGAAGAGAACTCCAGGAGAAGGAACAGCCAAGATAGAGTCCTAGAGCTGGGACAAGCTTGATGCGTTTAATAGAGAACATGAAGACAGATCCTTCAGGAGCCCCTGCCTAAAGGATGGGGGCAGGAGAGTCCCTCAAAGAGGAGATGACAAACATTTCCCCAGATCCAAGCAACTGAACAGAGCCAGGAACTAATCCAAACGACGCCTTCGCAGAGTCCTGCCTACCCCCGAAAACAGAGCGTGGCGGGGTTAATATGAGTTGGAGGAGGTGTTGATGTTGCAAGCCAACTTGTGCTGTAGCCTCAGTCCCACTTTCAGGCATGAAGTCCCAGGAGGTAGAGAGTGCTGTACTCTCAACATGTCCAAACACAGACCTATGCAGGAGACCCCCAGATCTGAGCCTCTCGCCGTGGTCTATGTCTCAGTGAGTGGTATTAGTATCCATCCAATCACTAAGGAATGAAACCAAAACATGACTCATGACCTTGCACTCTGCCTCGCCCTCAGTAATACATCTACCAAATCATGTCAGTGATGAACATCTTCAAACCTTCTTTCTTTTCTTCTTTCTGCCACCACCACAACTGCACAGTGCCCCACCACCTCCCTCCCAGACTACAGTAGTAGCTTTCTAACTGTTCCCTTCACACCCATCCCAGCCTGTCTTGGTCCCTTCCCCACCCAGCCACCAGAATGATCTTTCCATCTGTAGAGATGTACAGAGTTCGGTGCAGCAACTCTCTTCATGTAAGAGGAATTTTTTGAAAAGTCTCTGGGAGTTGATGCTCAGATCCTAAGAGCCCTCAAGTGTCAGGTGGAGGTGAGAAGGATTTGCTGGTTGTGCTACAAGTTGGGAAAGAAAAAGAAAGGGTGGAAGGGGAGATGATGTGAGGCCATGTGTTTGTGATAGGTCCCTTGGCATCCCCTACACTGACCTTCAGTAAAAAACTCAGAAAACAACAAAATGCTTAATGTAACCTGATTTCCCATGGGAATCTGTGAAAGGCCTGGGCTTTGGGTCTAGACCAACAGTGAGCAGAGACAGAGAGGGTGGCGTGGGGAGGGCAGAGTGTGGATTGGGAAGGAGGCAGGTGTGGGGAGACTCCAAAGCAGCACACACAGATGCAGATAGGACAGAACTGTAGGAGGCTCTTAAAACTGGAGAAGGGCTTTGACTGTTTCAGTTCTGAGGCATCTAGGTGCAGGCTAAGATGAACCAGTCCTCATGCAGGTCCCAGTTGACATCTGAATTACACATCTACGTGACAATAATGTGAATAGACATCATTTATTCAGCAGTGTGCTGTGGTTTTGTTTATATGTAGTATCTCATTTGATTCTATTTTCATAACAACTGCAAGGGGTAAGTATTATTATTGCCTTACTTTACAGGGTTCCATCCTGTTATAATCTAAGTTCGTTTTTCCTCCATTTTTAAGATAAACAATAACTGTAGGGCAGCATAAAGTTCCCTGAACCACACAACAAAGAAAGTTAAAAGATGAAAAAGGTAATTGCTGAAAAGGAAACTGAAGTGCAGAGACCCCGGCAGTCTGGCTCCTGAGCCTATGCTCTTGGCCACTGTACATTCTTAATCTCTCTTCCCTCCCCTCCCCTCCTTTTCCCTCCTTTTCTGTCTTCTTCCATCTATCCACTCATCCATCCATCCATTCATCCATTAAGCCTCCATCCATCTATGCATCCATATTTCTGACCATATATCTCTCTATATATAGATAATTGGAGATAGATATAGATATAGATATAGATATAGATATAGATATAGATGTCTAAGTTGACATGCCAGGGGCCACGTCAACTTAGAAGTTCCACAGCAACCTCAAACTCAGTATGCCCCAAACTGAACCTCCCTTCTTTCTGGTCCTACATATATATATGTGTGTGTGTGTTTATTTCCGATCATAAATATAGATAGATAGATAGACAGACAGATAGATGATAGAGAGAAATATATGTATCTCCAACTATAGAGATAATTCCTCTTTAGGTGGGAGGTTGAATTACAGAACCTAAAAGTTTCCTTGCAGTTCTCAAGTTCTTTGAAGTTTAGTTTATTTTAGACTATATTTTGATTATTTTTGGCAGGTGTTGATCTTCTTAACTAACTTGTTTGGGTTTACTGAAACATACATTTCAGGGCTAGCATGGATCTAGGAGAAAGACCAAGTCCCTCATGTTGGGAGTGAGATGAAGTGACCCACTAAAGCTCACCTGGTCCAGGACCCTGCCTGTTTCACGTGATTTTGAACTCTGGATATGTGGCAAGTGGTGATAAGGACAGCAATCCAACTAGGTAATGAGTAAGAGAGAATGACAGCCTGGAATTAGAGTGTAATCTGTTTTTACCACATGTGTATGCTAACAGTCAGTGATGATTATGACAGTGGTCATGATTCCAGCAATTCACAGGTCCCCATACCTGAAGAGATTTAGAGACCTCATCCAATGCACTTCTTGCTTCCTGATAACTAATGCCTGATTCATTCCAGAGATGAATGAATTTAAAAGAATGTGCTATTTAAAAGAAAAAAAGGAATTTTAAAATCTTTTCTGGCTTTTATTTCTTTCTGAGGAGTTCCCTCCTGTTAAATGCTTATTTTTTTAACCTTCATTTTAAAAATAAATAACTGTAGAACAGCATATAATTCTCTGAGCCACACAGCAAAAGAAAGTAAGAGGAAGCAAAAAGAAGTAAGCTCTATGGTCATGGGCAGTAAGAGACTCATGATAAAGGAGAAGTTGGGTTTGAGGATAAGAAAGCTGGAAACAGTTGGTTCAGGCTGCACCAGAACACACACATTACATCCATGCCAATTGCTGTCTTTTCAAACTCCAGGAAGCCTGGCGTGGGTGAAGCTGAGTCACCTGGAGGCTGTGCCGAAGCCTGGTTGTGCTATAAGTTTTATGTGCAGCAGACTCTATCTTTCTCTCAGAAGTGGGTTGGGACAGTCCTTGGTATCCAACCCTCCCTACATTCACCTCCTTTGAGAAGAAAAAAATAAGACCCAGAAGGTAATATTATCATTTATTGAGTAGCTACACTATGTCCAGAACTGAGCTTTACATGTTTTATATCACTTATTTATCTCAGCAATCTTGAAAGGATGGTATTGTTTTCCCCATCTTATAGGTGAAGACTGAAGTTCAGAAAGTTAAAGTGATTTCGCCAGGGTTCCTGATTGGTAAGTGATGGAGGCTGAATTTGAGCCACATCTATATGCTCCATCATCACTCTCCTGGGGAAAACGGCCTAGATGCATTCTATCTGCATTCCTGCTTAGATTCTGCACGACTTCTCCTGTCCATTCCCTCGGCCCCCTCTCCTCTAGTCCATGAGATTACAGCTTTGCACACTGACAAGAGGGTCCTTCTTAGCCTACACATACAACCAGGCATCAAAGGATGGAAGGGTTCATCTCACACACTCACAGACCATGTAGACTCTTCAATCTACACCTCCAGCTAGAACTCAGAACATTGATGGGGACCTGCTCTCCAATCTTTCACCTCCCCTTTCTCCATGAAATAAACATCAACATTCACTCACCAGCCCACCCCCAGCCTACAAGGTGGCCCCTGCCAGATCACGCTTCCCACTGTGGAAGAAGGCACATATGAGTGAGTGGGCTCATCCTTTGACCTCTGTGTGAGATAGCCTATCCCACAGAGTCAGAGTGCAGAATTCCCAGGGTATCACAGGTGTGGTGATTCAGAAGAGCAGCTGTCAATGCATCTGAGGGCACAGACCCCCCTACCATGCCAGGCTGGGAGAGGCCACTCCTGTATGTGGCAGGTGGCTTGTGCCCAGTGGCATCAAGGCTATGGCAGGGTATAGCAGAGATCTAAGGCCAAGTGGAAGTGGAGCTGTTGCTTTGGTTTTGAAAACCAAATGAATGGCTTTTACAAACCTCCACCCACAATTCTGTGAAAAGAGATAAGAATAACTCTGACCCTACTCTTACCTCCCTCTTCATCAATTCAAACTGAATGAAGAGCAACCCTATATGGATACAAGAGGATAGATACAATGAACTCAGCTGGGTCTAGCACCACTTTCAGGGAGGCGGATGTCCTCACTGGGCCCTCTTGCATCTCTTCAAAATGAGAATGACCAAGTTGGGATTTATCATTCTGTTCTTGAATCCCAAAGACTATCCTTAGAGCAAAATATACTCTTTGAAGGATGAGGATGTGGAGAAGCACGGTATCTTTAAATAACAAGGGAAGGGAATCTCAGATTAGGAAAACTAGAGAAATGCCCATGAGGATGAGGATGCCAAGTGGCAGGTACAGGTTGTCTGTGACTTTGTCATGTGTGGGAGAGAAATGTCCTTTCTCAGGGTGTGGGAATATAATAGGTTGTACTCCTGATGACCTTGACCATCTTAATCACTCTTGTGTGATGCCGGCCCAGGTTCCACCCAAGTTTTACCTTATAGCTATTCCCAAGTTTCCCTACTAATCAAGGAAATTAATGAATACTGAATAAGGTGATCATTCTTCAGCTTTTGAGTTGAAATAGACACATAAATCAACTCAGCTGAATACAGCATGCGGAATCAGTCCTCCAGAAGGCAGCTTTCTCTCTTTCTGGGGGTGTATAATAACACATAACTTGACCAGTTGTGGGAGCCCCCATCAGCCATGACAGACTAAGTCCTCACCCATGGCCAGGAATGAGGCACAGGCTTTTGGATGTGTGTGTATAAGCAAATGTACACAGAAACTGCCACACCCACACCCCACATACCATGACAGGGTGGAGTATTTGTTGTCCTTACCTTAACCTTGTCACCATTTTCAGAAATTCTGGACTTTGATGGTGCTGTGTCCATTAGGACACAGCCTAGAAATTCTCAGCAGCCTTAAAAGGTGCCTTTCCAACAGCATTCCCTTTATCTACCCCTCATATCTGGACATCCTGGACTCCACGCAGTTCACAGCCTATAAGTAAGATTTACTTCCTAAGGGGAAGCAGGAGTCATGTCTGGCCATGTCTCACCTCCAAACTTGTATTTGCAAGCCCACACCGCCCACCCATAATACCCTCTTTCGGTATCTGCTCAAGCTGCACCACTTGGTCAGGGAATTTGAGGGGAGAGGTGTTCTGGTTAATGATGAGTTACCATATAGCTATCTTCCAAATATAAAATTAAAAGCCACAGCAATAACTATTAGTTTGAACAATATTTAATCTCTGATGCTTCAGAAGACACTTTGAGATCTTGAAGGGCCTTAGGGTTGAGTCTTTGATGGTGACTATGGGTCCTGAGGGTGCTGTGTGGATGTACAAGAGTACTGACTAAGGAGAGGTGGCAGCATGCAACGAGGGTAAGAACCTCAGCTCTTTCCCCAAATGGCAGGCTGACCCAGGGTGAGTCACTTCCCTTCCCCAGCAGCACTGGGTCAGAACTTCTCTGAGGCCCCTCTGACCTCTGATATTCTATTAAGACTGGCAGAGGATGTATTGTGTGGGTTTTCTATCACTGGAACTGAGAAAAATTTAAAACTACCTGCATCAGCACAGAGAAGATCTGAAACGGTTCTTGGGTGTTTATAAAGCCCATGGGCTGGGCTCCCACCTTGATGTCAGCCCAGCCCTGGGGTCAGTGCAGACTGAGATAGGGAGCAGGAAAGCAGGAAGAACAGGAGTAGCAGAGTCAGGGACCACAGCACAGTTAGTGATTGAATTTATCAAGCCTGTGGAGAAGGACTCTCCCTGGTGGAGGTAGTGGCATAAATACGTGGTCACTTATCCTGCCTTCTCAGACCAAAAAGAGCTGTTCTGCTATCAGTCAACCGAGAGGTTGGGTTACAGGGATGTACCCTGTCTTTGAGACTGGTGATACTGAGAGGGCAGTGGGTGAAGAGATAACAAATCAGCTCTGCTTAGCCCAGGCCTTGTCCAGAAGGCTGGAACTGAGAGAGGGATCTGGCAAGGTATGAGCCAGTCTCCATCCACTGTAGGGATTCCAGGAGGCCCATATTTCACATGACCCTGTATTTGCTGGATGTAACTTTTTTTCAAGTCATGGACATGTCCATTGTCTCATTTGACTTTTCTTCTCAGGCATGGCCAGCCCCTTCACTCAGCTCTGGCTAGGCTGGACTCTACCCAATGTAAGAAAACCTCTGACAAGAGCAAAATCCTGAACAGTGACTCATTGTGTTATATAAATAGCTTCAGTGATATATCCAGCACCCCCCCTACACACCAAACACACATGCACACACCCCCTCTTGTGGAGATCACCTTCGGAATGATCCATGTGGGCACTCAGCGGCACAACACTCTGAATATAAATGTATGCTTGGACTCAAATCTCTCCCTCCCGTTCATCTTGAGCCCTCAGTTGTGCGGTGGCAAAGGCTGCCAAGTGGAGCATGTGTCTCTTCCTGTTCAGCCAGGACAAAGTCCGCACTGGTGGCAGAGTCTACTCCTTCAACAGTCCCAGCTTCTTCAGGGCCTCCCTTCTGTGTTCACTGGGGACACCTTTTGGGGAGATCTTGACACTGACACATGGGGGCCGAGGAAGTTTGTCACGGCTCTGTCCTTGGTAGGACAGGTGCTTGGAGCTCTGCTCCTGCTCCAGGTCAGCCAGCTTGCCTACCTGGATACCTGCAAAGTCTTTCCCCGTGCCCAAGGAGGCTGGGCGGGGCCGAGAATTACGCAAGACGCTGGGCGAGATCTTGTCCAAGAAGGAGCCCTTTCCCAGAGAAGTGCTGGTTTTGGGGCTGGCGTCTTTCTCAGCTGAAAGGTAGTTGCTTAGTCCCACGCCTGAGCGCTCCAGAGTGTTGGACTTGAAGTTCATCTGTCTCAGGCCAGGGGTGTTGCTCTCCTGGAGAGTCAGCCCTGACTCTGGCTTTGGCGGAGTCAGCCCTGAGTCTGACTTTGGTGGAGTCAGGGGACTGTTTGCCCTTGGGGCCTTAGGGATAGGAATTGGCATAGTTTTGGTAGCTGCGACATTGCCTGGAGCTGGAGACTTCATTGTCAAAGGTCCCTGAGCTTGACCTGGAACTGGAGCCGGAGCTTGAGCCAGAGCCTTCCCAGCAGCAGGAATAGCTGCTGAGGCCTGGGCTGGAGCTGCAGGCTGAGCCAGATCTGGAGCTGGGGACGGACGCTGGGCACGTGTCTCCTTGGGTCTGATGGAGCTGGTGGGCTTACTGAAGTGGAGTCCAGGCTCATCTTGATCCTGGGGTAGCCCCAGCTTCTCCAGAGCTTCTCTACGTGCTTTTCTCTGCTCCTGCAGTGAAGAGGAGACCAGGCCAGAATCTCCAGGGGCAGCCTCGGTGTGGCGGGACAGCCAGTGCTGGGGATCACTGTGGAAACTGCTTCGGCTGCTCTTCAGAACAATATTAGGTGGCAGCTTCCGGGGCTTAGGGGTTGTGAGAGGAGCTAGTCGGCTGTTTGGGTCCTCCCCTGATGGGAGGGGAACATCTTCAGCTCCTGCTTTCTGAGGCAACACTGTAGGAGGAGGCCGGGATTGTTGTGTGTACCCAGTTGAGCCTGTGTCCTTGGCTTTTTGGGACATGGCCTCTGAAGCAGTCTGCTCTCTTTCGTGGGAGCTGGATGGTGTGTGGAGCTGGGGTGCGTGGCCCTGCTGTCCTGGCCCCTCGGGCAGGCTGGCTTCCCTACACTGCTCTGGCTGGGTGTCCCGGAAAGCTTCTGGCGGAGGGATGAGCACCACGTCCAAGTCAAGGGCAGCCTCCTGGGGGCTGGCAGGTGCCTGACTGGGTTGGTTGCTCTGGCTGACCTGTTCTTTCTCAGCCTCTGGCACAAGCCTCCTCGGTTCTCCAGGGGTGTGACTGTTAGCCTGGGTGGTGCTTTTCCTGAAGTTCTGGCTTCTGGCAATGTGGATATTCCTGGGGAGGCTGTAGGAGCCAGACCTGAGGCCTAGGCCCTGGGGCTCAGGAGGATGGGATGAGCTGGACTCAGTCACTGTCCTTGGCGCTCGTCCTTGCTGAGTGATGGTCTCCTCTGGACCTCCTGTGTGGGTCAGAAAGAACATAAAAGAGTGAACAGAGGTGAGGGCCCTGCTGCAGAGCTCTAGCTCCAGGGAGGGGCTAACTAATTGTTAATAAATATTTGCTAAATGAAACAACACAAAACTGCAGCCCCAATACCAGAGGGACTGTCCTCAGGAGTAAAATGCTCCTCATACCCTGGGACATGCGGCCCCACACTCATGGCCACACTTGTGTGTTGTTTTGTTTCCCTTCTGCTGAGCCTGAGCACCACTGGCTGTCCACACTCTCTAACGAGGGCCTCAAGGTGCTTCTCACTGCAGCTGGGGAGCCCTTCCCTCTCCTTATCTCTCCTACCCTTGTCCTCTGTGTCACCCAGATTAGCTCCCTAGACTGACTCAGTCTCTCCAGAGCCAACCACCCAGCCCTCCCTGACTCCCTCCTCTGCTGGGGTTCTACCCCAGAGGGTCTGCCTTACCCCGGGGAGTGGGCTGGGTTACGGGCAGTGCTCGGAAACCTCTGGGAGTTGTGGCTGGCTCAGACTCGTCAGTGGACAGTCCGCTGTCAGCCTCCGTGTCCAACGAGCCAATGGTCTCCTCCAGGAAGAGCAGACACTCCTTCTCTTCAGCGGACAGGAAGTCGTAGCTGCTATCACTCTGTTGGGGGCAGGGGGATGGGGAAGGGCGAGAACAGGAGAGGGAGAGAGAGCTGTGAGAAAGCGCTCCCTCCGCAGAAACTGGCGGGGCCTGAGAACCACCCTGCGAAGGGGAAGGAATGTTGAAGAGCTGGAAACCTTTCCCTCCTGCTACTCTGCAAAGCTGCTGGAGTTGCCTCCTGAAACTGTAGGCACCAGGGAGCGCAGAGTGTGTCCGGAGGTTGGCCCGCTAGCACCCAGCTCTGGAGCTGGGCAGGCACATGGCAGGGGCCTTTCTTTTGCTCAGTCCTGGCTGGAATGCTTAGGGGCACAGATTAGAAGCAGTCCCAAGTTCCAATGTTTGACAGCCTTTGTCAAACATTTCACTTTGGGCACCTCTGATTTAGCTCGAAATAAGAAGGGCAACATAACCATTTGACCTGAAACTTCGGTGGTATTGCTTTTAACTTTTAAAAGTACTTCTGCATACTTGATCTGGTATGTCAAGGACAGTATGAGGAAAAGCAGGAAATGCAGCCAACTATAAGCTGCCAGGCCAGTAGGAACTGTGGCATGACTGGCCACAGATACATGTACTAAATAATTTGTACTTGACTTTGAAATGCATTCCATACGGGACTTTTTCCCCTTGTACATTTACTTTCTTGATGGCATTTGGCTCTGGCTAATATTAAAATAAGTGTGCATTTCTAAAGCAAATATTAACTTCAAGGGGGAGGTTGGTGGAGAAACTAGATGGTATGGGAGGAGGGAAAAGCAGCTTAGTATTAAATGTTAAGTAGATCTGAAAGTAGATCATATCCATTATGAGAGAGTAGATAGAGGTTTTTGGAAGAAAATGATAACGGTCATCTCAGACAGTTACTGTCTATGTTGTGCGGGGCTAGAAGGTTGCTGGAACAGTTGCTCTTCCACAGAGGAAGTTGAAGGGAAAACAAAAGGGCAGATTGGAATATAAGAAAGTTGGGCTGAGTCTTTTCTTGGCACCTCCACCCCTTTTCCTAATATTTGGGACACTTCAGAGTTGTACATTCTTCAGGCCCACTCAGATGGCCAGGAAAGATTTTGAGACAGCTCTAAAAATATCCTGGAAGGAGGGGAGAGGGTTGCGGAATAACCTTTCCGGTTGCCTCTGCCCCTTAAAGAACCACCTGTGTGTTGACTGATGTGGGCCGACATGTGAAAGGAAGCCCCAAATATAACCCCTGGAAGCTCTGAAGCTGACTCCAAGAGTTTCTTGAAGAAAAATATCTTTATGGTCCTCTTACTTCTAAAATAGCCTTGCCAAGGATAAGCTGACTCTTAGTTTCTCCTTCATGAATGATTCACTTTGAAAACCTTTAATCCCTGTCACATTCTGTGTCCAGTGGTATGTGACTATTCACATTGGCCTCAGTCTAACAGACATAGAAAGACTTCTCCACAGCCCCATTATCTAGGGTCAAAATGAAATTTGTCTGATTGTCTGCACTTTGGATTTGTGCGTGTGTGTTTCTTTCTCTACTCCATTTTTACATATCAAAATCCTTTGGTTGTCTTAAACAGCCTTGATATTCAGTAGACACCCTTAAAATCCTTAAATTTTCAAATACTTCTATAGGATATAATGCAAAAAAGCATAAATTCTCCAGGATTCTTATGTATGTGACAAGCATGAATGACAAATGTTTGTGTCTGGATGCAGCACAGATTTACTCTTTCACACCAACCTTACAACAACTGAGATTTAAATTCACGCCCAGAAAAATTACAGTTTAGTAAATGCCACTCACAAGTAGCTAAACACAGTGACTTTGGAAGCTTCTCAGTCTCTCTGCTCCTAGAAAGGCTGATTCTTTTCTACATGGAGGCATATGATAGGTGCTTTACTTGTATCTCATTTACTCCCCACAAATTGAATTAGATATGAATACTATCACATTTGAAAACAGAGGAGGTTAAAGCTTAGAGAAATTAAGTAATTTGCCCAAGGTCATACAGCTTGTAAGAAGAGAACTTAGATCTGTTTGGTTCCAGAACCTAGGTAATCCGACTCCTAATTACCTATTTTCTTTGATCTTTGTAAGAGACTAAAGTAATGCTGCTCATTGCAGAGAACTTCAATAATCCATGTGCTACGAGAATCTACGTTTTGGTTTCCACCATGACCTCAGATTACAGGCCTACTCTTTCTGCTAAATCCAACTCCCAACCTAATGAAAATTGGGGGAAAAAGTCTCATTTGCCCAATTGATCTCTAAGGTCATCCCATCCTATTCTCTATAGAGCCAGGGCTGACTCAGGCAGAAAGCACCCACTGGTGTTGTGATTCACTCCCCAACAATGAAAGAGAAGGTGTAGTGAGCCAGGATGGGTGGCAGGAAAGAACAGGGTAGGGCAGGGCAGGTGTGCAGAGAGCAGACCAGGTTGCGGGAGGGAGAGTATTACGTACAGATCCAGAGCGGGTGGAGGTGCTGCTCATCATGCTGTCACAGCTGCCGACACGGGTCACGGGTTCTGAGCCAGGCCCCGCTGGCCACAGCTCCCTCTCGGGCATCGCCCAAAACAAGGTGCAGGGGTGGCAAAGGGGGCTCCCAGAGGGGAAGCGAGGGGAAGTGAACAATGTCCCAAGCCGGGCCTGAAAAGAGAAGAATCAAAGCCACATGTGAGCCAAGACTTCGGCAAGGCTCTGCCCAGGCCCTGGGTGGCATGGCGGGAAGGACACCAAGCAAGCAGAGAGCTGGAAGAGGGGCGTGAAACCCCCAGCCTGCATGGAAGGACCCTGGAGCTGGCTCAAATACATGCGGAAGGACAGACTTAGGTGGTGGAGAGGGAGTCTAGTCAGAAAGAAGCTTCTACTACTTCTCTTACATTTTTATCTGAACCAAGGAGCTTAACCTACATTTTCATTACTATAAGCAATAAATATTACAGGGGTCAATAGCTTGAGTTCTGGAGTTAGTTGGGTCTGGGCTCAAATCCCAGTTTAGCCGTTTACAGTTATGTGACTTGAGGCAAATTACTCTGAGTCTGTTTTTCCTCATTAAATAATGTTAGTATGAGGATTAAACGAGAGAACAGTTAGCACAGTTTAGTTGGTAGTAAATACCCTAAGACCTCATGAATCAATAATTAACTATTATTGTTCTTGTAACAAGAAAAAGACAAGACCTATCTAGGATCAAACTAAATTGAAACAAGAGAAACAGGAGCTCAGAAAAGAAGGGTTTTGGTTTAACAGGAGACTGTAGACTTGAGAGAAGAAACAGGTCCCTTAATAATACCTACCTCATGGGGTTATTGTGAGAACATGTAAAACACTTTGCACGGTGCAAATTGTCACCTGCTATCATAGTCAATATCATCAACATCATCACAACCACCACTACGATGTCCATCTTTAACTCCCTAGCCTAGAGGCATAAACAGGGCACCTGCAGTGGTTGACACAAACCTATTTTCTTTCTAGTGAATTTCTTTCTTTCTAGTGCCTCTGTTGTTGCACATATTCCCAATGAGATTCCCGAGCCCGTGTCAAATGAACAAGAGAAATGTCCCATGTAGCTTCCTCCCAACTCCAATTCCTTAGGGGAAAAAAGTTTCAATATCATTGTAACAAAAGTAGTAGCAAAGGAAGGCAGTGCCATCTTCCCTCTGAAAGTCCCAAGAATTTTGATGTGGCTGTTTGTGGGAAATACTCCATTGGAGATGGCAGGTCAGAAGTGAGTCTGCTGTTAAAATGAAATTCTAAAAGAATTAGGATGAAAAGACCATTCCAAGATCAAACAGAGAGTTGGAGGAGAGCCAGAATTAGAATAAAGTTTGTCTGATTCGAATCCATGTTTTCCCTATAATGCCATCCTGTATTTTCTTTCATCTTTCCAACCTTCCCAACACTAGGTGAAATGTCCTAGAAGAAAACGTGATCTATTTGAGATCTGGAGGCTTGGGCTTTGGATGCCAGGGCAGATGTCCTCTTGGCCTCCAGTAATAATCGCTTCCAGTGCCAAAGTCAGGTTTGGGCTGGGTTGGGTGAGTCAGCCTTCCAGCCCTATAGAGCTGGCAAGTATAGAGCCCCACGGAGCTCCTCTTCTGCTTGGGAGGAGTCTCTCAAAAGGGGCAGGTAGGGAGGGGCACGACAGCGGGGGGAAAAGAGGCAGACATCTGGTTCATAGGGGTCCAGATCCTCCTAGGAGATAAGGAGGGGACTGGAGGGACAGAGACACCAAAGAAGCCCAATGATAAATAAACGTGGGGTGAGGAAGCTCTTAGGGTTTCTTCATGAGGTTAAGCTCCCCAGTACCCAGAAACTCAAAGAAACAGGAACATGAGAAACCATGTGGGTGAAGTTCAGTCATCTCAGCTACCCACTCCATGAATGATGCTCAAGTTCAGGGAGGACTAACCCATTCCTAACATTCTGTAGGGCTGAGGCCGCTATAGCAAAGGAGATCCATCTCTGTAAGACTAGGCACACAGAAAATACTCAAAAAACGCTGAATGAATGAACTTGCCATCTGTTCTAGGGTCTATTGGGTTGAGCTTTTGGAAGGCTTCCCCTTGGTTTCTAACCTATTATTGTGAGCTTTTTCTTAAATATTTAATTTCCTGGATAATATACGGCTCGGTGAAATTTGGGCAATGTTTTCAGTTAAACTAACATTTGTGAGCACCTAATAATAGGCACTAGTGGTACAAAACCGTATAAGAGAAAGGCATTGTTGTCAAAAAGTCAGTGTAGATCTAAGGGTCTAGTTTTGGGCTCCAATTTTCTTCTCTATAAAATCAGGGCAGTAAATATTTAAAGTGACTCACTGTAATTAGCATAATATTCTCTATGAATGGGTGAGCAGATGATGCCTCTTACTTTCAGTGAAAATTACTACCCTTGTGCTTCTGAGTATGCTTTAGACTTTACAGAGGTTTTCTAGTCTCTGTTTCCTACTAGGGAAGCCTATCACACTATCGTTTCAGAACCTAGGATACCTTCAAGTAGTTGGAAGAGATAAAAGTGGTAGGAAAAGCACTGCTTCACAAGAACACAGCATGCCATAGCTTGCAAAGTGCTCTCAGATATGCTAATTAGATCTTCAGCATAAACTGGAAACATAGGCAGGATCTGACATTTTCTTCATTTTACAGGTGAGAAAGTTATGGCTCTTACCACTAGCCCTTCCTAAAGGACACAGGAAATGACCTATACCTGCATATACAGGACAGCCCTCCACGGGGCATCTCAGGGACTATCTGGATGCAAGAGGGGCATGCCCCCGAGAATGGTTACTATTCACCCCTGACTAAAATACTAAAAGCCTTAAGACCCCCTTCTCCTTCTACTTCATACCTTAAATCCTGCAAATTATCTGCTTCAGCTTTATACTTCCAGGCCGGTGTATTGCCCCAACAGCAGCTATTTCCACAGTAAAGAAATGACACCAACTGCCAAGGAAAATCATGTCTTTAGGGATTACATACTCCCTGCAGAGAGGAATCTGAACCTGAAACCAAAGCTGAGTGAGGTGCTGTCACCTCATCTCCATACCTAGTTTTCTGACCTAAAAAATCTGAAAGGTGAAAGCTGCATTTCCTTTCACCGACTTCACAACCTTGAACCATGGGGGCTGTCTCAGGGCAGCCATCGAAACCCTGATAAGAAGACTGAGAAACAAACAAAACACTCAAGGTGAGAGTTTGGTATCTTTTAACCCTTGACCTCTTTGGGAACTTAATGGGAGGAGGGAATGGGTTAAGAAATACGTAGCACTTAAATAGTCAGGGCCATCCATCCTGAATTAAATATTAACTACTCCACTGACTAAAATACTAAATACTGCCAAGTCTTGGAGGAGAGGGAATAAAGAACAGGTGAAGTTCTGGCATCTGGAGAGGGTGCGGTGGAGACAGGGCTCCAGCTCCATTCCAGGTTGGCTTGTCTGCACCTTCTAATCAGACCCAGGTCTCTCTCATGCTCCTCCTCCAACGAACTCACTCACATGTCCTCCAAGAGCTCTGCCTCTCTGCCTGCTAGTCAAAGAGGTTTCCTATCTTTCAATCCAGGTGTCTCTGCTCCTTGTTGACTACCCAGAAGTGTGCCTTGGGCTGGAAAATATCCTAAGAAAAATATGAGAAAGACTAAAACTTGCACAATATGCATATCCGTCTCCATGAGCACATGGGCAAGTTTCTGTATGTGTTTAGGCACCATTATCATCTTCCTTTTCACCAGTGGATTTGAGGCAAGGAGCAGGTAGAAATACTCTCTGCATAGGAGAGCTTTGTTAGACACTGCTGGTGGTCTTTACTCCTGAGTTCACCACCTAGGGCAGCCCTCAGTCAGTGAGTGTGGCAGTTGCCAGGACTGGAAAACCCATATATTCACTCAGGACTGTGTGTGCCAGGCCCTTGAGCCTGGCACTGAGGTCTTCCCACTTCCCTCTTCTCTGCAGCAGGAGGGAAAGAGTCAAAGTTAGGGACCAAAGCGTTAAACCCCCCAAGATGGATAATGGAGAGGCGACTTGCTACTCTGACTCGACTCCTACATCTGCCTTCCTTCTGCAGGTAAATCTGCCACACAAACTGCCAACTTGGACACCTGCAGGAAAACAAAACAAAGCCACCACCCTGGTCTGATTCTCTGTCTGTGGACTCTGCCACACTACCTTGGCCTGAGCCCCACTTGGAACTCTAACTAGACTTGACATGCAGCTGCGAAATATTCGTGTAGGTGAGGCCCAGCACAGCCAAGTAGCTTTCTGTTTGCCAGTCTCTGCATCTATTAACAGGCAGAGTCAGAAAGTTAATTGAGTAGAACCCAAATAAACTTGACTTTGCAGCTAGATTATCCATGGGTTTTCCAAAGATGAGCTGGTAGCTGGAGTTGAAGTTTTCCCCACATGCCCAAACCTTATATCCCTTTACAAACAACCTAGTGCAGCTCATGCCTAACACGCCTGTCCACAGAGAGCTCCATTATCAAATGAGCATGATCAAACACACACACACACACTGCACCCATTATTTAAACAAAGGTCGACACCGAGTTGGTAAAGCCACGGGAGAATTTCCGGTTATAATCGCAATGGAAAACCAAGATACTCTCCCCCGTTTTGACTCCCTCTATTTCAACTGTTATTTTCCAAAATCACAACTCAATTTCAATTGTTCAGAGATGGAAATTTCCAAAACAAATCTATTTTCTTTTTCGTGTTGTTTGCACAATATGCCTATCCAACCTAAGGAGGTAAATGATAAAGAAGGTCCTCCCAGCCCCGGTCTCCACAAAAATACTACAATCTCAAGTCACTACCAACCTGATCTGATCCCAGAATGAACTCAGAGAATTGGGGAACAGATAGGAAAGCTCCCTAGCTCGGGTATAGAGGGACACTTTCCCTCCCCTGTAGTTCTGATTTCCCATGAAACCCCTTCCTCTTGCTGCAGGATAAGCCGTAGTTGGTTAGTGATTAACTCACCTCCACTGGGTTGGGGGCTGAAGACAGGAAAGAAATACCCTTTTATTTCAAAGGGCAGAGACGGAGACAGAGGCTGCTTCCCCTGCCTCCTACTGTTTTCTTCTCCTTTTGACCTCCTCCTGACTTACCTAGACAGGTAAATGCTTCATCTATGCTGCCTGGTCCCCACCCTGCCACTGACTCAGCCAATCCTAGGCTCCCCTCCCTACCTCTCATTCCAGCTGTTTCCTCAGGGAGGGAATGGGAGGGGAATGAGCAGGGTGGTGCTGCTCCCTCTTAGCCAATCATCTCCTGCCCTCCCCTTCCCTGTTTAGAGCTAATAAAGAGCTCTTTAAAAAAGGAGGGCTGGAAGGAGGAGGAGCTGGTTTGGGCTGAGACTGGAAGGACAGGTGGCAGGGAGGGAGCAGGCAGAGATAGTATATACATTTAATGTTGATATAAAGGAACGCAGACAGTCCTCTGGGCAGTGTGCTTTTCCATAAGTCTATGTGAAATAGGTTTTTCATCTAGAACTACCTTCTTCCACTAGGAGATTAGTTTTCTCCTGTATTCTCTAAGCTAAATTAATTTGTGGTCAGCTTTGCTGCTAGCTTTTCCAGCTGTTGAAAGTCACTTTCTTCCCCAAGCCTACTCCTAGCTCCTAAGCCTGGCAATTCCATTCATGTCCACTTAGGAGGGTGTCCCAAGGCTAGGGTTGCTGTAGTTGGGCCAGTCTCACCCCAGTGCTTGACAACAATCTCCTTGGCCTAATTTATTTCTGGGGAAATAAAACCATTCATCCCCTAAGAGGTCCCTATCCTGATGGAAGAGTGACCGGACAGCTTGAAAGGAGAGAGCATGCACTCTGTCATTTGGTCCTCTGCTCTCTTTTAGTTGTTCATGGAAGTTGGCAATACATATTATGAAATAAAAACAAAACAAACTACCAACCAGTTTAGCAACTCCTGCCTCCTTTCGTGGACTGACATTTGGCACTTGTAGGGAGAAGAAAGTAGGTAGAAGAATCTACTGCTTTTGGGAAGAAATCTCCCTCCAAGTACAGAGACCACTCTTACCAGATATGATTTTTGACTGGAAGCTGGTTTTTCCTAGAGGTCGGTTATCCTTGACACCTATCAGGATTTGAGGTATTCCACTTACTAGCATTAAAAGGGCAAGGAGAAAATTTAAAATCAATGTACACAATAATTGCCAAAATTTATTAGGTTCTTGCTATTTGCTAGGTATTGTGCTGAGCGTTTTCAGGTATCTTTTTCTTTAGTCTTTAACTTAAAAAAGTAGACATTTATTAATATCTAAATTTTACAGGGAGGTTAAAAAACTTTTTCAAGGCCATGTAGCTAGGAAGAGGCAGGGTGGGGATTTTAATTCAGGCAATATAACATCAAGATTGCCATGAATCAGCATAATGCCAATCTGCCTCTGTTTTGGAGAGAATCTCAAGTGGGAATCATGAAATACACAGATAATTTGCAAGTGTAATTCTAGCAATTAGATTCGTCCTTTTCCATTTCATTTCCTACTTAAAGTTATTAATATGTTTTATAACAAGATGACACATGGCATTCATCTTTCCTCTTTCTGTGATCACGGTTGGATAGGAAATAAAAAGCACAGTGATCTGGGGCCAAGGTAAAGATGAGGTGGAGCAGGACTAATGGATAGGAAGGAGGTTGGAGGAAGCCTGGGATAACCCAGTCCCCTATCAGCAGCCTATGGACATCACAGCTGAATGAGCACTTCAGGCTATGACCTCTCTCCTGGGTGTGTCATTCAAACATGTATGATGTCATAATACTAACAAAACAGGAAGGGCATCTCCAAATCAGCAGTTCCATGCAACCAGAGTCACACCCATGGATGAAGTCAATGAAGTTGATCCAGCTCCATAGGTGTGTGATTTGAACATTTGCTAAAAAAAATGAATTGACTTATGAGAATTAACTTCCAAGAGGACAGTAGGCAGTCTTATTTGTGAACAGACACAGTTTTTCAGTTATAATAAAATTAGGATAACTAGGAGGAATCCCTATCTTTTACCAGGTAGAAGCAGGGACATAGACAAAATCATCTTTCTCTTCCTCTCTTTCCTCTCAAAAACGTTTTCTTTTTGTAAATTATGAAATATTTCAGATACCCTGCCATAACAAACACAACCGTACCTAACACCCAGTTCAGGAAATAAAACATAAACATCATAGTGGAAGTTACTTACAAGCCTTGAGCCTCCCTTCTCTGCAAACACACATATGTTCTAGCTGAAATAAATCACTATCTCAAATTTTCTGTTTCCTATTCTCCAAGTACTTAAATGTTTTCCCTGGAATTCATATTGTTTTTGCTTTGTTTTATTTTTGCTTAGAAATGTACCAAGTCTCTAACATTCCAAGATAATTGGAAAGGAGGCCTGGACTACAGAAAAGGAAGGATTTCCTAAGTCAGTCAAAAGCCTGAAAGAATAAGGCTTCCTGGTTGATATCAGTCATCATTTGAGGGGGTATGTGTGTCACTGCTCTTAGTATGTAAATGCCTGTTTGATGACCAGACTCTGTGGAAACTAATTACAGCCCTGCTCACCTGATTCATCTGTTCCCTCCTTCTGCATTCTTGCATATGCTGTTGTGGTCAGGTCATCTCTTTGACTGTCAGAGGCTAGTTTATGATTTCCTTTCTGAGTACAACCTCCCCACTGAGGCAACCCCCTTCCCCCTAAGTGCACATGTAAGTGTGCACACACACACACGTGCACACACACACACGTCACTTCAAAACTGAAATATACCACAAACAGTCATTTTTGTGACTGGTGGTCACAAAATGTGGTAGGTGGAAACATACCACAAACTTTCCTCTTAGGCCCCTTGTAAAGTTAGACTCCGTAAAATAGTTGTGGACTTCCATTCTAACCATTCATGATACTTATTTATTCACATTGCAGTTACACCCTAGCAGGGTCTTCCTTTCCCTTTCCTCTCCAAAGGAAAAATTAAGTTACTTTGAACGTATGCTGTCACCATCCTTAGGAAACACTTTGCACCCAGTGTGTTTATGTTTGGGTGTGATACTATATGCTGGGGCTCTGAGTGTGACCTCTAAAATACTGGGGGAAGAGAAGGTTTTATTCTTCAAGTAGGGGTTGGGGAACAAGAGCTTTCTTTAAAGAGAGCACAGCTAGGGAAGAATTCAGATGAGGGTAACTATAATTTGGCTGTAAGATGTGGGACTGGATAGCACAGATTAGGACATCAAATAGATCACCAAGTTCTCACCGAAGTGATATTAGTGTTAAGACTAAAATAATTTGATGAGAACTAAAGCATGTAATTAAGTAAATTTGGATGAAGGAGTTCTGAAATCACTTAATTGTTAAGTAATTTTAGGGAGTATTTTTTTTCTCCTTTCTTTGTTGAGAGCAGTGTTTCTTCCGCCCATCTATCATGGAAATTTGGAGGACTCAGCTGCCCCTTTCTCCCTAGAACTAAAGAAAGTTTGAGGGCTAAGGTCACCAATTAGCATCAGAGAATTCTGCAAGAAACACCAAATTTTAATGTGTTCAAAACTGGAGTTACATTGTCCATGTCCATACCCCTCAAATGTCCTCTCTCCTCTATCCCCATCCCAGCTAATTGCATCACCACACTTCTTCTCACCCAGGCTCGAGAATACTTCACAGTTATTCTCAAATACCTCCTGTGAGATAGCTTTCATACCTCTTTCCAATTCTTTATCCTCCCTAGTCTGGTTCAGATTTTCACTGTCAGTGAGGTCATGGACCACCAGAGATGGAGGAGGCTACAGAAATTACTTGTTACCCCTCTTCCATTTACAGACACACATCTGAGTAGTCATTCCTCCTCTTAAAATACTTCGATGGGTCTTCATGGCATTCAGGATGAACTTCAGAGTCCCTGTTATGACATAAAAAGACCTTCATGAGCTGGCCCTACATGCTTCTCCTAGCATATCTTCATTTATATTCTGGACTACAGCCACATCTACTGTTTCTGAAACTGCTGTGCTTTCATGCTTCTGGGCCTTTGCCCATGCAGTACACTCTTCTTGGATCTCTTTCCAACCCTTGGCATCCTGGCTTAGTCTTATGCTTCCTTCAGGGTTCAGCTTAAGCATGACCTTCTTTTGGAATAGAATATTAGGTGCAGCTTCACTGTAGTCTCTTAACACAATGTACACATCTGTATGTTCAACCCACTAGGATATAACTGTCCTCTTTCTCTCCCTGTTAATTTTGGATTCATGAAAGGCACTAATTTTTTTTCTATGTATTACTTTTCTTTTCTATTGTAATAGTTATATATTAATGTCAAAACTGCTGATAAACTCTTTGGCAACTGAACTCCTTAAGAAACTTGCCCTAAAAAGTTTATTCTTCATGATCAAGCTGAAAGATAATCCTTCTACTACTACAATTTTACGTATTGTTTTTTCCCGATTCTTGTCCTTTGACATGCTATTAAACTCTGCGTTGTTCTTAGAAGTAATGAGCATTGGCTCATTAGGATTGTTTTCAGAGGCTTTTGACTTTTTGATGTCATGAATATGTCTATCAATCTGAGATGCCTATGAAGGCCCTGAGTTGATGATGCTTCACACTGCAGTGATTGAACACATATCTACTGATGGGATGACTGATTTCCTTTATCTTTCTTATAACAAAATGCTCCTAACATTCTTCATGTTCTTTACTAATTATTATGGATATCTAAAAATTAATAAGAAATATCAGGATTAATAGAATTTATAAAGAATTGTAGCTTATAGCAAATATTCAAATAGTGGAAATGTCAGGTAACATTATTAGATTCCGTTTGGATCTCCTAGGAAGCTCCCAACAGCTCTACACAGAATCACTTGTTGAAATTCCCAATCTAATTTTTTTTTTTTGCTTTCCAAATTTGTTATTTTTTGGAACATTCTTCATTAAATTTGCATGAAATGCATACTCAGTATACATTTATTAATATTTATTTTATTTGCTATAATGACTCATTATTAACAGTAGACAGGGTCATGGAATACACACTTAACCACATGGTATGTTAGTCCATTTGCATTGCTATAAAGGAATACCTGAGACCTAGTAATTTATAAAGAAAAGAGGTTCGGCTGGGCATGGTGGCTCATGCCTAAATTCCAGCACTTTGGATGGCCAAGGCAGGGGGATTACTTGAGCTCAGGAG